CTTGTATTTGGATAGATATTATCCTATCTCAGACAGCATTACACTTCAAGATAGCTCTTATGTCCTTTTTGGTGATGAATGAAACACCATTATTCTTGTGCCATTCTCAGCATAATAAACAATATGATTTTCTGACTCAAAATGGCCAATGCCAGTGTATTTCAGCTCTCAGACTATTGATCTTTATGTGTTCCATTTCATTTTTACAATTTCCAGTGTTCTTAGATTCATACTTTGTACATTCCTAGTTCCAATTATTCAGATGTTTGCAGTTGTTTCTTGTCGTTTTGAGTTGTGTTCCATTAGCCAACAAGGGCCCTGAGGGCTTTATGCCACTCATGTCATTATGGTCAACTCTGAAGGCAGCTCTTCAGTTATATTTTAAGTGCCTTCCAACCTGAGGGAGTCTTCTGACACCATATCTAACAATGTTCTTTTGTTATTCATGAGGTTTTCAGTAATCTGACAGTGTTTTGCTGATGCTTGTAAGGTTTTCAGTAGCTAACTCCTCATACATGGCCTCCTATGATGTTTACTGCAATGTTCAGCAAAATTATCAAAGATATGCTTCTGTCTTCTCATAGCTTTCTGGAGGGACATTTGGATTTGTTCTAACACTGATTATTCTGAGTTCTTGTTTAAGGAAACCTGGCAGGCTTCTCCACTGTAAAGCCATCCCCCCTCTCTAATTGTACTTAAGTATTTTGTGAAACATACTTTGGGTTGATGTAAATATTCCACTCTTCATCAGTGTTATTTATATCAGCAGATTCACGATTACCATTTTCCTTTGAGTTAAAATCCATTATTTATTTTGATGTTGAAATTGTCCGAGGATTGGCCAACGGGAGCACCTTTAGGCAGGTTTCTGTGTCCTTTGGACCTGTTCCTACCATTCTTTGAGCACATGCTTGCTGCTTCCTGACACAAGGATGTTCCAGACTCATGTTTAAGGTGGTAAGTAAAAAAGCATTGCCACATTCATGAGTTTATTCTAAACAAAATGTTTGAACAAGACTGTGGTCTGTATATCTACTGACAAATTCTTTCAGTAAGATACCGTACTTCTCTTGGAATCATCAGGATGCCTTTTTAAAAAAAGGTACTTTCTGTGCCACAGGAAAATACAATTGAGACCAAGGTAATTGTTAACAAAACTCAAGTGGTTATCTTCCTCTATCATTGAAGTGTTGTAGCATGTTTATAGGGTGCCCTAAACAAACCAAGTATAGATGGGTCAACCATTTTAAGGAATGTCAGGAAGACCTCGACAATGACTGTCAATGAAGAAACTAACTGAAGGCAAGCAAATGGTGGCACAATGTAGACTGGCCATTGACATAATAGGTACCAAAGTTGGGCTCTCATGCGGCACAGTATCTTCATTTTTAAGTTAACATCTCAGCCTCAGCAAGTTTCCTGGTCCAGTGGAGGCCAAAAGCTTCGCTCCCCAAATCAGCTCACCCAAAGGTGATCAGTCAGCTTTTTAGGAACCATCAAAGCCAGTGAAGGTAATTTTATGGAATGAATTATAACCCAGGGTCATAATCAGTTAGCATTTCTGATCCAGAGAGCGAGGTCCATCAAAATTGGCATTTAGAAGGTATGCTGGGACCAACAAAATTCAAGGAGCAAAGTCAGCTCAGGTTAAAGCAATTGTGATTTTGGAATTCTATAGGGGTCATTTGGATAGATTTCCCTGAAGGACACAGGCCAATCATGAGGGCTTGTTAGGAAGTGTTTTAAAAAATGGAAAACAAGAGTTAAAAAAAAAAAAGCTGCACTGTTGAGAAAAAGGTCAAGAAAATTATGCCACTGGACTCTCTCTGTATTTTCTTTTTCTTAGATTGAGCTTTCTGTTTATATGATCATTGTTGCTGGGTCCTTATTTCCCCCTTTGTCCTTGCTTTGTGTTTTTCTGTATAGCAAAATTAGGATGGGTGAATTTATGAAGACAGTAACTGAAATAGTAATTGCCTGGGGGTACAGGAGGAAAGACAGGGAAAATGGGGGGAGTCAACACCAATGGGTACAAGGAAGACAATGTTCCAAAGTTGATTGTGGTGATGGCTGCACACCTTTTTAAATACAATGGAACCATTCAATTGTATGATGTGCTAATTATATCTCCATAAAGCTAATTTTTAAACAGTTAAGGAATTTTTTTACATCATAACAATGCACATGCTTTCTTCAAGTGTGGCAAGGGTTGTCCTAGGAAAATTTTATTGTAAAGTCTTACCCATTCACCCTACATTCCTATCTTGCTCCTTGAGACAATTTTTATCCCAAAACACAGACCATTTTAAGAGGAATATTATCCGAGTCCCTTGAGGACTGCCGCAACTGTTTTGATGTGATATAAACTGGAGAGCAGAATTCTTTAGGAAAGGGTTAGAGATGGAAATACTGTCTTCAGAAGCGTATAGGCTTAAGTGGTGAATACACTTGAGAAACTGTACCATCACATTATAAATGTACGGAAATCTGGCTTCTGTTACCTTAAACATAGTTCCTTTATTTGCATAGTGGCTGGACCAAGAGCAAAAGTGTCTACTAAAAAGGGGTCAGAGCCTGAGCGTAGCACATCATAGAGGTGGCTTGGTATTGGAAGAGAGCAGACTGAGAAGCAAATTACATCAGTAGCTGTCAAGCAAAATCTTATGGAGACTTCCTGAAAGGAGAGCTTCATTTAAGCATACACAAGGATAACTTGTGCTGCCCCTAAAATTCCTGCCCTGAATTTGCCATATTATTAGACTTAATTTTACATAATTGCCTTTTATGATTCCCAACCTTTGTTTTTAGTTAGAATCAATCAGGGAGTTTTTAAAGATCCCGAACCTCAGGCTGCACACCATCCCAGTTAAATCTGAACACTGTGTGGCAATCAGGCCTTACACTTTGCAAAGATTCTCAGCAATTCCAATGTGCAGCAAAGTTTTGGAAACACAGCCTAGTTGCAGGCCAAATACTGGACTTGGGGTTTCCACTTGTGTGATCTCACTCTTAATTACAATGACCCTGCAATTCAGGCTTTATTGTCACCTTTTTGACAGATGAGAAATGGGACTCAAAATTGAGTCTGGTGCCTAAAGGCTTGTCTTTTAGCAAGCAGTCATCTAAGTGAGACATCAAGGAAGTCCACACAGAAGCATACCAGCCTGTGTGATCCGCAAATAATAAATTCCAAATCTGGAGGAGGAAATAGTATCAGAGCTTCCATTCTGAAAACCCAGCTTGCAGAAGGCTATGGATTACAGTGGATGTCCCAAATCCATTTGCAGGATCCCCACATGGATTAAACCTTTCCCTCTTACCATAGTCCATAGATGTCTTTGTTCTCTAACTATACAATGTTATTAGACAGCATTGTAGTCAATTATGGCACTTGTAGTTAGGTTAAAATTTAACACTTTATCCTTTAATCTTCCTTTTGATCCATTTTAAAGTTGTTTCAGTTTTTAATGTTTTCTGCTTTGATTGAGGTTAATTTTTTTTTTTGCTTCATTTGTTTTGTATGATTTTCTGTATAGGAAATCCAGGGTAGGTAAATCTGGGGCATGGCAGGGGAAGTTGGAGAGAAATGGGGAGCTAACAGCCAGTAAGAGAAGAAAATGTTATGACATTGTGGGGATGATTGCACAACTCTTCTTAATATGATTGAGTGATAAAGTTGTATGTTAAGTATATGCCAATAAAACTATAAAAACTGAAAATTACTTAAATGACTCAGTCATGCAGGACTTTAGGACTGAAAGTTCGGAGTATACTGAGTACCTCCTAATCTAGGTACTGGAAAGGTAAGATAAACCAGACCCAACCCACCTTCTCATGTAACTCACATTCTAGCTGGGGAGAGAGAAAATAAGGAAATATGAGATCCTTATAGTTGCTATTGAGATGGTACAATAACAGCTAACAGTGCACATATTTATCAAAGAGGGCCAGTGCCTGAACCTTCCTGGTCCCTTTTATATTATTTAAGGGAGAAGGTAGGAACTCTTAAGGCTTGCTTTCTACCTCACACCAGATAGGAAAAAATTACTTTGAAATGATCATAGAGCAAGTTGTGAAACCACTAAGGTTTAGAGAACACTGAGGTTCCAGAGGAAAACAGATTAACATCATGATGTTGATAGGCAAAGATCTCAAAAATGGAAGATAATAATCACTAGGCATAAGACTGCTAAACCGGACTTAACTGAAATTGACACACAGAACTATTGCTTATCAAAACACTTAAAATCTAAAAGAAAAAGACAAAAGTAATTTTTTAGTAAGAGCACACATGCTGAACAATGAATGAACTGCCTCTCAAAAAAGTGAGCTCCAAACAACTGATTTTGTAATAATACAGTATCTGTGAAATGTACCATTTTCATAATCAACCTACTAACCATATGCATCGTCAGTCATGTCTGTTACACTAATGTATACATTACTGGGAATGGTTAGTGTTCAATGTTTTAAAAAAAGGACATTATAGGATTCAGAAAAATCCTATAGCACCGAAGAAACATTTAACTTTCCTCTAGTTCTTTAACGTTTCCTCCCTGCCAGTATCATGATCCCAATTATACCTTACAAATCCGGCTAGATCAGAGGATGTACAGTGGTACAGATAAAAGTTGGAAACACAGGGAACCCAGGACAGATAAACCCCTCAGGACCAATAATGAAAATAGAGATACCAGGAGGGTAAGGGGAAGGTGGGAGGAGAAAGGGGGAACTGATCACAATGATTTACATATAACCCCTACATATAACGGACAACAGAAAAGTGGGTGAAGGGAGACATTGGTCAATTTATGACATGAAAAAAAAAATTATCAAGGGTTTATGAGGGAGGGAGAAGAAAAAGTGAGGAGCTGAAACCAAGGGCTCAAGTAGAAAAAATTGTTTTGAAAATGATGGCAAGAACTGTAAAAATGTGCTTGACACAAAGAATGTATGTATTGTGTGATAAGAGCTGTATGAGCCCCCAATAAAATGATTTAAAAAAAGAAGATAATTCAAAACCTTTTAATACCTTAATTATATTGTCTTCTGTTAAGTCAACAATTCAAAACAAAACTAGTATCAAATAAGTAAAAAATATAGCTGTTACAATGTGATTATGTAGGTTATGGTCTTTTGAATAAATCCGATTGAAAATTTAATAAGGAAGTCACACGTTGAGCTTTAATTAATGAAAAATCTCTTAAAAGAGATTTCATAAACAATGTCATTATCTTTTAATTTAAGCTAGGAATGAAACATTTTTCCATAATACATAAAACCATCCAGTCTTTAGAACATTTTCTTAAAGCCAAGGTTAATCTTCATGACTGACAAATGCAGAATATTCAGAAGTGCAACTCAATTTTACGGTTCCTATAAAAATTAGTATTCATAAAAAGTATGTTAGAAGTGATTTCCTAGCGAAAATTTCAATATTCCTCAAATATATCATTATACATTTAAAATATTTGAAAAGATTTTAATGGAAAATTTTCATTTCTGCCTTTTACAATAACAAAAATTTATACAAAAAGATATAAAGAAACACATAGAATTGGGATTTAAAACAAAACTTTCAGAGTTTAAGATTTAACATACATGTAGTCAAATTGTGATCCAAAACAAAGCAATAAATCCTGGAAAATGGCCTGTTTACCTCAAAATTATTAAAAACAGAATTATCAACAAAACACATGCACACACAACAATAAACAATTTGTTCCAGTTATTTCAACATAAGCTTGCTTCTCTTTAAAGAATGCAAAGTACAGAAAAAATCTATTTAAATATGGCTTAAACTAAGATTTTTTCTATAAGGACTAAAATAATAAAGCAAGGAATGTGAAAAGTCAGACATGAGTAGTAATGAATGATCCAGGTTAATTGTAATAAGGCTAACAAGTAAGAGTTTTTGGCAACTGAGAACTTTCGGTGCATCACAGTCCATCAGGCATTCCTCCAGCACCAGAGGGGCTCTGGGAGCTCAGAGAAACCCAACCAAGTGCAGAGATGTTCTCTTCAGTTCCCTGGGAACTTTCTCATCAGTTTGACTTTATTATCGAACCGCAATAGCAGAGGAATCCTGACAACTTCCCAATGAATGGGCAGAAGGAAGATTAGATCATGAAAATGTCGACCATATCTTAATCAACTAGAGGAATGTTCCCTATTAAAATTAGTCTTAAAATACAAAAAAGTTTAAAAACATAGTTACAACACTGAAAGACACACCTGAGTAGAAAATACTGAGAAGTACATGGTCAAAATGATTTATATTAGCTGTCCTAAATTTCCATGTCTTTTAAAACATTTTATTTATATAACATGCCTACGTTCTTTTAAAGCATAATGCGTAGGGGGCTTCAAAAAGTCCATGGAAAAATTCTGTTACCATTGCATTCAATTAGTCTATGAAGGTTTTGGAGCTCCTTTGTACTTATTTTAAAATATAAGTATCAAATGTTAATAAATGAAATAATTACAGTGATTTTACAAAAAGATTTATCTTTGATAATATTTAAGGAACTAAAAGGTAGGAAATTGTCATTGCCCTGACACAGCACGTGATCTTAAGGGAAGAAACATCTCACTCGAGTTTCCACAAGTTTCTCCTTCTAATTGCAGTTCTGGTGGCAAAGGAGGGGCCCCAGGGTCCCCAGGCCTAGGAAGAGACACTGAAGAAAAAATAGTATTATCAGTTCTGCCTACTTCTAGAACAGGTAAATTCAGAGATGAATCAGTAGAAAAAAAAGGGGCTGTGCTGGATTCTCCTTCCGGATGGTATATGTCAGTGGATGCCCGCAGTTTTTCAGAGAAATTACTCTCATCTGAATTGGGTCCAGAGAGGTTGTTTGTAGCTTCATCTGGATGAGGCTCACAGCGGCTACATTTCAGTCCTGAAATAAAATTATTCAGATCTATTAATGTCGGATTAATTGATTACTGCCAGAAAAATAACTATATTTTGTTGCTACTTCATCGCTGTAGTAGATAAAAAAAACAAAAACAAATCTAACAGAATTCTGAAACTTAATGAATGTTTTGACTAACAGCAAACAACAATTTCTAGGTTTAACTTTGCATCTTATTTTTAAAATTAATTCTTAGTTATCTTACCTTTCAGATGTTCTAGTTTTATATTCCTAAGTTTTAGCACTTCATCTGTAATCTTCTGGATCAGGAAGTTCTGTGTTTTTTCACGCCGAATAGATTCAAGCAGTGTATCTAGTCCTTTGGGGTTTTCTTGTAAATAGTCTAACAATTTTCCAGCTCTTTTTCTACTTGATGTTCGACAGGAAATTTCTTCAGTGTCTTCTCTGCTGAGTATTTTTTTTGCCCGTAGATGATCAAAATGTCTTTCAGCTATGATTTTTTCACACAGGTATACACGTAAATTTTCTAATGCCTAAAAGACAAAATGTTATTTTTTTTTTTAAACTAAAAAAATTATACACAGGAACACTCAGGAATTTCTAGATAGTGTAAGAAAATATCCTAAGTCAGGAGGTCCAGGCCCACCATAATGCACACCAAGTGGGATGAAGGTCTGCCTGGTAGATACAAGGAGGTCCCAGACTAGATAATCCTCCCCATTGCAGTCCTAAAATAGGGTGGTCTGCTTAAGGAGCCTTTCAAGGGTAAGAATGAGAAAAGGCTACCATCCTTTTTAGGTATCATTTAGTAAGGAATTAAGGATTATTCAGAACTAGGAAGCAAAACTTAGTAAGAGTTCTCCAAGAGACTTAAGGACTTGATGGGACTGGGCTGGGGTGTTTTCTTGATATAAGCGCTTTCTTACACACGAGCGTCACTGGATTTGTTTCGCTAGTCAACCTGGCCTAACACACTAACTTCCTCAGATTTTTACTAATCATTCCATCTTCCTACATGGAAACCATGAAAGAAAGAAACAGAAAGACATCAGTTAGAAAGACAACATACTAACTTATGATTCAGCCTTGGTGGAAAGGGAACAGAATTGTGTGTGTGAGAGAGAGAGAGAGAAAGAGAGAGAGAGAGAAACAGTGAGAGAGAAATGTAAAGGAACAGTGAATGTTAGAAGAAATGAAAGAAACCACAGAAAACAAGCCTAGACCTGAGAAGTGGTTGCTGCTATGGTTATGTGTCCTTTTGGTTTAATTTCTACTTGGAGTTACAAGACAATACGGTATGACCTAGGAAAAAAAGACTATATAGATCAAGTACTGAGGAAACACTGAGTAAACCCCTAATATCACCCCCAGGACCTGGGAAATTTACAGAGGCTGTCTGTAGCTGAGCTAGACACATGAAGGTAGGTAGCTGTATATACTAGAAGAATGTAAAAGAAGCTGGGATAAAAAATGGGTTTGTTCACAAGATTTTTATAACACACTAAGGAACGTACATTTCCCTATAGCCAAAAAGGAGTCATTAAAGGTTTATAACAAAAGACACAGAGATAATTTTTGAAAGGGACTGAAGGGAACACAAACTGCTGTCAAAGGACGACTACTGTGGTCAACTTTGTTAAGCACCTGAATTTAAACTATGGAATTGGAAAGTGAAGACTTGGAAAAACCTCTGCTTATTGTTTATCATCTCTATTCTGGTGATTCCTACATTTACACATAATCAAGACAAACGCAGATGACACAGCTCTGCTTGCTCAAAGTGAGGACCTGGAGCATTTGCTGATAAACAGCATGGACTGTAGCCTTCAGTATGTATTACAAATGTAAAGAGAACCCAAATCCTTTACAACTGGACAGTATCATGATAAATGAAAGACCAGCAACGAGATGGATTGAGGCACTGGCTACAACAATGGGCTCAAACATAATAAAGATTGTGAGAATGGCACAGCAGGACCAGGCAGTATTTCCTGTTGTACAGAGGGTCGCTGTGAGATCGACTCAAGAGCACCTAGCAACAACCACCATCAAGACTGATGGAACTTTTCCACTGATGGGACTCTCAAAGGTACTTACAATTTAACATGGCCCCAAACAAAGTTGTTCTCATCCTTTATCCTTTCACCTCACTTGTAAGCATCAAAATCCATCTACCCGTGCAATAAATCTAAACCTTTGACACCTCTATTTCACTCACATGCTCCCTCTCATCACCCATGTGCTGTCTTGTCTTTCTAACCTTCTTATTTATTTAATCTATCTTTTGGTTTCATCTATATTATTACCATTACCCTAGTTAAGGATTTCATCTTGCTTGAATCCACAATAAGTGTTCATGGAAGCAGCAGTCAAGGAAACAAATGATGAACCACATTAAGTAAATCTGCTACACAAGACCTCCTTGAAGTGTTGAAAAGCAAGGATGTTACTTTGAGGGCTAAGGTGCACCTGACCCAAGCCATTGTTCTTTCAATTGCCTCGTGTGCATATGAACATAGGATGCTGAATAAGGAAGATGGAAGAAAATCAATTCAAATTGAACTACGGTGCTGACCAAGTATATGCAAAGTATCATGGACTGCCAAAAAGAACAAACATGTATCTTGGAAAAAGTATAGCCAGAGTGCTCCTTAGAAGTGAGAAGTTTTGTTTGCTGGTAAAGAATACTAACAAGCAAATCTGTCTTGGAAGAAGTACAACCAGAATGCTCTTTACAGACAAGGATGGTGGGACTTGGTCTCACAAACTTTGGGCATGTTGTCAGGAGAAAGCAGTACCTGGTAAAGTGGAGGGGTAGTGAAAGAGGAAGGCCCTTTATGAGACAGACTAACACAGTGGCTGCAACAATAGGCTCAAATGTAGGAACAACTGTGAAGATGGTGCAAGACTGGGCAGTGTTTTCGTCTGCTGTACACAGGGTGGCTTTGAGTAGGAACCAACTCATTGGCACTTAACAATAACAACAGTTTGGATTATGAGGGCGTTGAACGCTCAGTGGTAGAATTCTTGTCTTCTATATAGGAGATGCAGATTTAACTTCCAAACAATGCACCCTCCTGTCCAGTCACCATGCATATGTCAGTGGAACCTTACTTACTGCTACGAGGCTAAACAGATTTCAGGGGAGATGCCAGACAAAGATGGAGTAGAAATAATGGCCTGGTGATCTACTTCTGAAAGACAGCCAATGAAAACTCTATGGATCACCAGGTCCGATCATGGGGATAGCACAGGAACAGGCAGAGTTTCACTCTGTTGTGTGTGACCATGGTTAAGAAGTGTAGGACAACTAGACAGCAATTAACAACAAAAATTTTAGGCACTCATTACATCTTATGTGGGCAACTACCACCAGATTTCCTAACTTATTAATTACTATTTCTCTTTCCTCTTAAATTTCTACTGGAAACATCACAAGCTTTTTAAAAAGAGAAACTGAATATGTGGAGTATTATGAGTTCTAATATTGAAATTTTATTTAATAATACACCAAGTTCACACATTGTGTTCCTGGAGCAGATAATCCCTGGCTCATGGACAATGTTCCTCGAGGATGGCAGAATAGTAGTTAAGAGTGCAGCCCTGAGTCAGACCAATAGCGATATAAACCTTGAATCTGTCACGTATTCCTGTGAAAGCTGGAACAAGTTAGTTAACCTCATTAAGGATCAGATAGATTAGATATCAATAAAGTAATGATAAATATTTATCTCACAAGATCCCTAGAAAGATTAAATGGGACAATGCATACAAAAGCTTTGGCACAGTCTCTGGTAGAAAGCAAGCATTCAATTATCAACAGCTATGTTATTGGGCAAGATTCCATCACACCTCTTTGCCTAGCTCTCTAACATTATCACCATCTGTTTGACCTGAAACTTTATGCTCCACCTCTAACTATGGTTTGTCACCCTCTCTCTCTTTGTGTTGTTACCTTTGTCTTTTCTTTTTTCTCACTCTCAAATAGTTCATGGAAAAATGGATTTAAAAGATAATGGATGTGCTCTCCCAGCTTCTGAAGCAACCTCATATATCTATTATTTCACTTGTCTATAAAGGAGGACTCCACAGCCTCCATTTCATTCCCAGGCCTTCTCATTGTTTCATCAATGACCTCCTTATTGCTAAACCCGACACTTTCCCAATTATGTATTGACATTTCAGCAGCAACAGACACTGTTACCCACTCCTTCTTTGAAGCACTCTTTTTGTTTTGGTCTATATCAATATCACATTCTCTTACCTTTTGTCTCATCTCTGTGGCTATTTAAAATTCTTCTATGATCGCCTTTTCTATCAGAGCTTACCTTGTACATACCTACTTGCTCACCTGAAATTTCCACCTAATAGATTCCATGCTTTCTCAACTCACTCCCATATTTAGTCTATCAGCAAATGTTATCATTTTTATTTTTTAAAATGCACATGGGAGTATCGTGTTTTATTCATCTCCCTTGCTCTCACTCTGGTCTAAATGGCTGTCATCTCCCATCTACAGAAATTCTAAGTCTCCTTTCTGTTTCCTGGTCCTCACTCCTGCTCCCAATCTTCAAAATACAGATAATTCTTTTTAAAAAAACATTTTATTAAGAATTAACACAGATAGATCATTCCACAGTTCCATCACATCAAGCAGTATTGTACAATTGCTACCAGTTTCAAAACATTATTTTCTTTCCTGAACTCCGTAACATCAGCTCCCTTTAACCCCCACCCCCACTATCATTGTACCCCCTAGACACCCTTATCTTATTTGCTGTCACTCTATGTGCATAACAAACTGGAAAGCCTTGAGAAGAATGAGACTCCCAGAACACTGTATTGTGCTCAAGCAGAATCTACATGAATTATGAGGCAGCTGCATGAATAGAACAAGGGCATACTATATGGTTTAAAATCAAGAAAGGTGTGTGCCAGACAAAGTGGTGGGGTGATGAAAAAGAGGAAGGCCTCTTTTTATTGGCTCTTCTTATCACATTTATTCAATGCTGAGCAAATTATCAGAGAAGGTGGCTTATATGAAGAAGAACGCAGCATCAGGATTGGAGGAAGGCTTATTAACAATCTATGATATGCAGATGACACAACCTTGCTTGCTGAAAGTGAGGAGGACTTGAAGCACTTGATGAAGATCAAGGATTACAGTCTTCAGTATGTATAAAAACTCAATCTAAGGGGAAAAATGAGGACCTAATGTCGGGGGTTTCAATGGAGAGAAAATGTTTTGAGAAACGATGTACAAATGCGCTTTACACAATTGATGTGTGTATGGATTGGGATAACAGTTGTATGAGCCCCTAATAAAATGTTAAAAAAAAACCCAAAACCTAATAAATAAATAAATAAATAAAAGGCCAAAAAAACCAAAACCAAAAACAAAACTCAATCTAAAGAAAACCCAAATCCTTACAACTGGACTATTAGGTGACACTGAAAAATGGAGAAAAGGATGATGAAGTTGTCAAGAATTTTGTCTTGTTGGATCCACAGGCAAAGCGGTTAAGAGATCAAATGACGCATTGCATGGGGTAAATCTGTTGCACAAGATCTCTTTTACGAGTTGAAAAGCAAGGATGTTACTTTGAGGGATAGATGCACCTGACGCAAACCATGGTGTATGTTCAACTGCCTCACATGCAAGTGAAAGTTGGACATGGAATAAGGCAGACCGAAGAAGAGATGCATTTGAGCCATGGTGCTGGTGAAGAATACTGAAAGCACCATGGACTGCCAACAGAACAAGCAGATCTGCTTTGGAAGAAGTGCAGGTGGACTGCTCCTTGGCGGCAAGAATGGTGAAACTCTGTCTTAGTCGCTGGCATCACGCTTGCTATAGAGTGGAGGGGGGGCAGCTAGAAAAGGGAAGGCCTTTGACAAGACGAATCGACACCGTGGCTGCAACGATGGGCTTGAACATTAACAACTGTGAGGAAGGCGCAGGACTGGGCGGTGTTTCTTTCTGTAGTACATAAGGTTGCAATGGTTGCTATGAGTCAGAACTAACTCGATGGCACTTAACTCAAGGAAAATCCAAAACCTTTATTAACTGCCATCTTTAAGTGCCTTCAGATTCTGGGTCACACCTACCTTCCTAACTCTACTTCAGGTCACCCTCTTGTCTTCCCCCAGTTTTGTGATGACACCAAGTGTTTGCCTATTTTAGGTCCTTTGCAAATTCTATGTTCCTAGAATGTTCGCTTGATAATATTACAGCCTTCCAAAATCACTTTAAATGTAATTTTCTTTGACCATCCTACCTCAAGTAGACTTCCCTGGTTATTTTCTCAGCACTTGTTGGCCTCCTTCACAGTACTTATCCTAATTTGTAGTTATACATTGGTTTTAAACCAGGACAATTATACTTTGTTCAGTGTTGTATACCACACACTTAGCAGAAAGCCAATTGGACAATGTTTTGTATGAATTCAACATTCTGTCTCCCTTGCCCTAAGAAATAGCTTTTTGCCAAAACAGGACTTTTTTGGTTTTTCCTTATGAACAGTTAGAATCAACTATAGTACTAATCTCACAGTGACATGTAATCTATACTTATTAAACTACACTAATTCAATCAATGAGATGAGGTGAATGAGAATACAGAGTGAAGAAGAAGGGATTTCTAGGAGGATGGACAGTGGTACACCATTGATAGAGCAGGAAGAGCAAGTACACTTTTAGACAAAGTGAGCAAATCAGCAGCATATAAAAGGAGACTCCAACAGGTGACAGTATTGGTCTAGAGTTGAAAGAGAAGCAATTCCATATAGTAGAAGGTGATTATAAAATGTTTAGTGTCTTACAGGAAAAAAACTCTAAGAAAAAAATGTGCACACACCACATTTTCCTCATAAATTTCTGAAATTCATCTATGGTTTAATCATAATTATCAATCTGATATGGATGTGAATTGAAACAATAAAGGCAGATACCATCAATGAATGAACAGGGAAAAATAAGGCCCAGAAGCCAATGTTTACATGTGTATTTGTGCACAGGTCTCACCTCCTCCTACTTGTAACCTCTCAAAGTCTGTCTCAGCAACTGTAAAATGGGAATAAGGAAATCTCCCTTAGATTAAACACGAACACCGTAACTTGTGTAGCACAACACCTGGAACACAGTAAAGTCCTTTACTTGAAGTGCTTTTCTAAATATGACAGCACTCAGCTTTATCTCAGCTAGATTGCAAAGCGGGGCTTGGTGTTAATTTGGGCATTCTCCCTGAGTCAAGAATAGTACCTGGCACATTATGAGTGTTCCATGAATTATCTGCTGCATGAGGAAACTAAGGTACAAATCCCAGTCATAGAGTTTTAATTTCCTGTTTCTCTTTGCTAATGAGTCACACCAATTGTAATGAATATAGTGTAATAAATCTTACAGAGGAGAGAAGAGGAAGTAAGTTGAGATTAAATTGTGGACTACTGGAATGTTCAGTCAAAACACCCCTCACGGTGAGTTTATCTTCTGAATGAATATGAAGTACCTTAGTGATGTGTATGTCTCAAATGGCAAAGCAAGTGACTAAAAGTAAAGGAGAAAGGGAAGCAAATCATCCGTCAACAAAGCCATTCTTTACAAATTAATATTAAGGCTTTTGCGGTTCTGCAACGACTAGCCAGTAGGGCACAATTTTGCTAGTGCATATTTCCAATGTTTACCTGTAAATGAATTCTCAGCTACAAGTATTCAGTCCCCCACCCCCTCAATTTAAATGTGTGGGCGTTCGCTTACTAGGGGAATTCCGGTTTGTGCTTTCAGCTGTTGAGCTTCCCCCAGGCCCTCTGCAGGAGTTTCAAATGTTCGAGCCTCTCCTCTCTATCTGGTGTTAAGTGTAGCTCTCTATCTAGGTTAGGACCGCAGCCTCGGTCTGACTCAGGGATGGGCTTGCGCCACTGATGCCCAAACTCCAACCAAACCCGCTGCCAGGAGTCGATGCCGTGACCGACAATCTTCACGGGCGCACACAGCTTCATCTTTCTCTCGCAGAGCAACTGGCGGGGCTGGGTTCGAGCCGCCCGATGTGCTGTCAGCCAGCAGCCCAACGCCTGAGCCGCATCGCCACTAGGGCTCCTTTCCAAGAGGGCAGCGAGGTGGAAGATCAAGTGGGAATGAGTGAGGGGTGAGCAGGGGGAAACGCCCCCCGCCGCCGGGGCCAGCTCTGGATTTCCGGGTCCTGAGGGATCCCTGCACCAAGGTCCCCGAGCCCAGACCTCGCTCCTCCAAACCGGAGGCTCCACCTCCGCCTCGGATTCGGGGTTTCCGTTTCCCCCTCCCGAGGGGTGCAGCCCGCCCCTGCTCCTCCTGGGCCCTCGGCGGACGCCGCTCGAGGGGGCTACTCACGTCCTTCTTCACTTCAGTCAGGTCTTCCTCGGTGAGGAACGGCGCGGTGGGCTCCATGGAAAAGGCAGGAGATGGCGCCTCTTCCGGGTCTCGAGCTCGGGTCGCGCCGCACCGCGCAGGCCTAGGGACTTCGGCCTCGAGTAAAGAGGGAAGTAAACGAGGCGGAGCGGCAGAGCAAGAAGGGGCTGCCCCTCCGAAAACAAGGGCTCGCCGGACAAACCGTGGTGCTTCCGGCTCCGCCTCTGAGGCTACGGCGCTCCGGACGCGGTGTTCCGACACCCAGGTAGAGGCCGGTCTCCGCGACTCCGGCGCAGCACCTCTGGGAGGCTGGTCCGTCGGCAGAGCCCGCCTCGCCACTGCTGTAGCCAATCAGCCCCGGCCTTTGGACCACGCCTGTTCCCTGCTGCAGCCATTCAGCATCAGCTCCGCCCGCAACTGGCGTCATATAAGTCACGCCTCCTCGGGGCGTTTGCTTTCCCGGTAAGGAATCACTTCCGTAAGTGGGACCCTCCCCACCTTCGCAGATTGCTCTTTCTGGAGTTCCTTGGGGTTCCTTCCCTTTGCCCAGGCCTCATCCTACAATTTCCTGTTGCCTCGTTTGCCCACTTAGGCTTTTAAATTATATAGTCTCTCACGCACAGCAAAGAGAAAAAGGAACTACCATACAGTCTCATCATTTTAACACAATTTAACGTGTGCATACTTTTGGGTTGCTATTTATAAACATTATTCATTATGCATTAATCTGTTGAATGGAGCTGTGTCTACTTTGGAGAGCTGCTGTGGGAATTAAATTATAGAGGTAAGAAAGATACCTGGCATATTGTAAGCATTAAATTCATTAGCATAATCTTGTGCAATTAAACATTTGTTAAGTACTTATTGAGATGCTCCAGGCATCTTGTTTTATAAGAGTTCTCCCATTTTTTGTAGGAATACCGATTTTTGCATTCCGTCTGTGTCTTAATCTGCTCCAATAGTCCAGGGCAACAATACTCAAAATGGTACTCTAACTGGTAACAGCTATGTATACAAAGCAACAGTGTCCCTAGGTGGTGTGATTGGTTTATGTGCTCTGCTGTTAACCCAAAGATTGGCAGTTTAAACCCACCAGCTACTCTGGGGAAAAAAATGTCGCAGTAAAAATTGGAAATGACCCCTATAGGGTGATTATGCTCCAAACTCAGCTCACTGCCATCCAGTCTGACTGATAGCGACCCTAGAACTGCCTATGGGTTTCCAAAACTCATGTTTCTTCTTGGAGCAGTTGGTGGTTTCAAACCGTTGACCTCGTAGTAGCAGTCCAACTTAAAACCCAGTAGGCTACCAGGGTATCTTAGGGTTGCCATGCCCAGAATCAATTCCACAGCAGTGGGTTTGGGTTTTAAATTGATATGTAAGCAGAATGGCACATAATTTCCCCATGAATCCACTGGAGGTTTTGAGCAGCCAACTTTTCAGTTAGCAGCGCAGATCTTAACCACTGTACCACCAGGAACCCTTCAGAGTGTTAAACAAAAAACAAAACCCAACAACCAACCAAACAAAACCCTGCTGCCATCAAGTTGATTCTGACTTACGGTGACCGTTTATAGAATTTCTAAGATGGTCAGTCTTTACAGGAATAGACATTATCTTTCTACTGCTGAATGACTACTGGGCTTGAACCAGCCATCTTGCACTTATTTGTCCAATGCCTAACCCACAGCACACCTGTTGCAAGCCTAATGGTGGCCATCGAGCCAATCCTGAGTTGCAGCAATCCTATGGACAGAGTAGAATTGCCCCTGTGGGTTTCCAAGGCTATAAATCTTTAAGGAAGTGGAAAGCTTCATCTTTCCTGCAGGTTGGCTGGTGGTTTTGAGCTGTAACCACTACCCCATAAGAGGTCCCTGTGCCACCTATTAGAAGATGATCAATTGCAAGAGAAAAAAATAAAACGGAATTGGATTGGGACTTTATGGAGTGGGAGAATTAAACTTCAAAATAGGGTTGTTAACAAAGACCTCACTGAGAAATTAAGATTTCAGTCAAGACAAAGACTTAGCCAAGTGGACATCTGGTTAAAGCCTTCTTTTACTGTAGAACAGCCAAGAACAGACCAGCCTAGGAATAGCCTCCATTGTAGCTGGGATGGATTGAGTTAGGGGGGAGAAACCTTAAACTTTATTTAAAGTTCTTATACAGTCATGTATCAACATCCAGGATACATTCTGGACATTATTTAGTATGGACACTTAGTGTAGTGGGCCAAATGCATTGGCCTGCTAAGTGCAAGTTCAGCAGTTTGCAATCACCAGGTGCTCCCCAGGAGAAATATGAGGTTTTCTACTCCTGTCAAGAGTTTACAGTCTTGGAAATCCATAGGGACAGTTCTACCCTGTTGTACAGGATTACTATGAGTTGGAATTCCTTGGAAGTGAGTTTGGAATTTTGTTTGGAAACGCCATAGCTAGACTCGTGCTACTTTTTCTGTAAGCCTTGTACCTCAGCTATCATTGTCACCTTGCTGAGAGGGATTCTTTTTAGTGTGTGGTCCACAGTCCACGTTATTGGAAATTTCTCCATATCTGACATACGTTCCTCTAGCATTTTCATCAATCTTGTGCCTTCCCGTGGGGCCTTGCCTGTAAAATCTTGGAGAAATGTTCCTTTATTTGGAGGATCATTGCAACATGCCCAAATTGCAAGCAGTTAGCATCCACTGGTTTGCCATTCTCATGTTGTTTTCACTTCCAAATGCATACTTCCTTATGCCTCTTATGGTGGATAGCGTTAGCACTGGTTTTGCTGCATTTGGTAGTCATGATAAACTATGGCAGTGTTTTTTTTTTTAACATTTTATTAGGGGCTCATATTATTAGTTATCCCAATCCATACACACATCAACATTTTATTAGGGGCTCATATTATTAGTTATCCCAATCCATACACACATCAATTTTGTAAAGCGCATTTGTACATCGTTTCTCAAAACATTTTC